TATGTATGTATGTGAGCACTTCACAAGATCGACAAAATGCAAATGCTGGGCTTCAAAAATGCTACAGGCAGCAAGATTTTCGCACATAGGCAGACTCTATACATGTACCATACTGTAATTGTGTGTGTGCATGCTCGTCACCAAAAACATTATAAGCACCAACACTATCATACCCTTCCCACAAATAATAACGAAAGATCAAATATTTTGCACGAGTTTTGTAAACGGTTTGAAGACTTTATATACTCTTCACACAGAAGGGAAGATTCGAAGAAATTTCAATTTTCGTGAACTGCTGCTTGTGCTCACATGCATACGTACATATACATAGTTGAGAGCACCAAGAGAGAAAAAGAGAGAGAGAGAGAGAGAGCACGGGAAACAATAAGAATAGAGGGATCGTTTGTTTAACCATCGACCGTCTCGGTCGAGCGCTTGAAGCAAAATGATTGTTCTTTCGTATATTTTCGTAACCCAAACCTAAAAGTAAGTAGCCGAGCAAATACGAAGTTGTGTGAATTTCAATCTTAAAAAAAAGGGTGCAAAACGCTTGACACTACGTGTCCGGCTTATGTGCTCTCTGGTTAGTGGTAGTGGTAAGTCGATAGAAATAAGTTACTGACCGTTGACCGTCCTGGAATGACCTCAGGCCCAGATGGTAATCCTTACTTAAAAGTTTTTGCTAAGCAAGAAAGCAATGGTGGTAGTCGGGTTAGTCAATTGCATGTATAAACATATATATGAATGTACATTTCAATTTAGGTTGCACGGCTGTCAGTATTAAGATCTCTGAGAAATATCACGCATGTAAGGAAAAGAAAGAAAAACAAGTTTCAAATATTAAATTTTAATAAAATATTATCACCATTACAAAACCAGTAAGACAATGAAATATATGTATAATAACGCTGAACGGAATCACTGACCAAAGAACACTTAGACGAGACAAGTAGAGCAAACGTTTTCAGCGCCGAAAAAATGTGCATAAGAGACTTCTCAATTTCGTATTTGCTCGGCTTAGTCTCTTTTGAAGTTGAAATATGTCCACGACGATTTCAGCTCTTTCCTTTTGAGTGAAGGGTATAACGAAGTCTTAGAAGTATTTGCCACGCTCATACAAAGTCCTAGTGTTTTCATGATAATTTATAGGTAGGGTATGAGAGCGTTGAGGAGCATAAAGATGTTTTGACGACGAACATGCACACACACATTTGCACACTTAGTAAATGTATGAGCAATTGTATGACAGTGTGCGAAGCTCTTGCTGCCTGTGAAGATTGTAAGACCCAAAATTTGCCGTTGGTCGATCTTACGGACTGTCATATCCACTTCACACAAATGCGCTATGTATGAGCAGACATACATACGTATGTATGTACGCAGATTTATACATATATTATTATAGCTAATAATGTTTCTAAAATATAATTATTTAATATATGATTATTTAATACAGGATTAAATAAATAATTGTGATTGTGATTGGTCAGTGGCGGAATGAAACGAAAACAGAGTATTAAACCGATAAATCTTGGATGCGTTTAAAATATGTGTGAAGGTGGAAACACGAATTAAATAATATCGATAATATTTTTAAATCCCAAGTTTCTAACTCTGAGTATTTTTCCGGTTTGTTTTATTGTTGTCAATTTTATAACTTCAACTTAATATATAAAAATGGGAGTACCAGCGTTTTTTCGATGGCTGAGCAAAAAATATCCCTGTGTTATTATAGAATGTAATGAAAATAAGGTAAACTAACTTATTTGGGTAAATTTTAAACCTATATTTATAAAGGAAATTTTTAGAAAACAGATGCGGAAACAGGCAAAGTAATTTATGAAGATCCAACTCTACCTAATCCTAACGGCGTGGAGTTCGATAATTTATACCTTGATATGAACGGAATTATACATCCTTGCACGCATCCTGAAGACAAACCAGCGCCTAAAAATGAAGAAGAAATGATGGTGGCTATATTTGAATGCATTGATCGACTTTTTGGCATTGTTCGACCGAGAAAATTATTATATATGGCCATTGATGGAGTAGCTCCTAGGGCAAAAATGAATCAACAGAGATCCCGAAGATTTCGAGCTGCAAAGGAAACAATTGAAAAGAGGATAGAAATTGAACGTATTCGAAATGAACTCTTAACACGAGGTGAGAATGTGTCCATGTACATACATGCATCCGTATATGTACATGTATGTATGTATATACATATGTATATGCAAACAAAAGTACATGATATCGATGAAATGGGACCAAGAAATTAATTGTATTCTTTTTATGAATAATGAGGCTAAGAGGGTCTTTTTAGAAGTATTTCAAAAAGTGAAGAAAGCTTACAAAATTTGGGAAATCATTTATATTTTTCTGAACACATTTTGTTTTCGTTCCACAGCTATTTTTATACCCTGAACCCATTGAAAACGGTTTTGATAAAAGTATGTAACAAGCAGAAGGAGGCGTGACAGACCCCACAAAGTATATATGTATATTCTTGATCAGGGCGACGAGCTGAGTCGA